TTCAGTTGGGTTCCCCAGGGAATAGACTGAGACTGATTTATGTACAGAGAGTTTGTTGGAGGTGTCCTTGGGATCAACACCTGTGGGGAAGTAAAGGAAATAGAATTGGGCAAAAGGAAATGTTGGCTTGTGATAAGGTTGCAACAAAGACTTCAGTTGACCCCATGGGAAGCTCTGGAGCTGGTGGCCCTCCTTGAGAAAAGGGTGCTGAGACTTTATATCCCCCTCCTAGACAAGTCATTGGATGTGGGCTGGCCTGAAAAAGGAGTGTGACCTTGGGCAAGGCAGCTGTCTTTGGCCAGGGTGATTCCCAAAGAGAGACTTAGCTGAGAGCCCTTAGCTATTCACACTCCCCACAGGTGTGAGGATGAATGCCTTGGTTCTAAAGGAGAGATATTGGGTGATACACCCCAGCGTCCACTACCTTGTCATTTGTTCCAGACCTTTTTAGTGTATGAAGCTAAAAAATAAGATTTTCTTTTAACAAAAAAATAAATCATGAGTTCTTACTGATATTTCCAGTTCAAATTCAGGTTTTTACTTAATTTCTTTGATTTTTATATTTATGTTTCTTTTATTTTACACCCAAAATCTTGGACTTCCTGGTGACATTAACATACTAATTGATTTGCTTTATCCTATATGTGTGTGTATAAAAGTTTCAAAACAATCGTACAAATATGATTACTAAAAGTATTTTAAGAATTTAATTTTTTTCCTACCATATATATTATGGATGTACAGTCAGATTATAATGTGCTAAAATACCTTGAAAATAATTCATTTCCTTCAAGTTAAGCCACCACCAACTTGATACACAATAAAATTTAAGTTTTAGGGATTGCCTTTTTAATTTTTATTTAATTTTGTTTCATAGTTTTGTAAAACATTTAGATACTTCCCAAGTCTAGCTTTCAACACTATCCCTATATTCATTCCCTCTCTCCCCATATAGAGAAGCATTTTATTTATTAGTTTTTGGTTTAGTATTCCACAGTTTCTTTTTCTTTATATAAGCAAACATACATACACACATGTGTATATGATTGTATGTGTGTATGCATAGTTATGACTCCTCCATATTTTGCAGCATATTATATGTACTTTTCTCTAATTTGCCTTTTTCTTTCCACTTAACTAATATATCTTAGAAATCACTCCATTTTTATATAGAGAAAGACAGACCACAATTTTTCAGTTAATTCTCTATTGATGGGCATTTGAGTTGTTTCTAGTTACTGAAATATTTTCAATTTTTGCCTGTCTATCTTTGGGAGGGAGTTATAGAAGAAGGATTGTGGGGGCAAAGGGTAAATGCATGTGCAGTTTTGCTAGGTTTTACCAAATCCCCCTCCATAGGGGTTCTCACTTTGCATTTCCACTGCAGTGGGGAGAGTGCCTGCTTCCCGACAGACTCACCGATACAATATGTAGTCCAATTTTTGGACTTTCCCCCCCAATTTGATGGATTAAATGTTATATTTCAGTGTAGTTTTAATGTGCATTTATCTTCTTATGAGCAAAGTTGAGCACTTTTCCCCTGTTTTGAGGCCCATTTGCATTTCTTTTCTGTGAATTGTCTATTCATCTCTCTTGTACGTTTTTCTGTATCACTGTCACTCTTTATTTCCTGTTTTAAAGCTCTTTCATACATTAGGTATTTTAACCTCTTGTCTGTGATGTAAACAGCAAATATTTTTTTCCCATTTTCTCTTTTTGCACTGTGCAGGTATCCTTTTTTTATATAAAGAAATTACTCTTTTGTAATCATTTTTTCTACTTTTTTATGTATTTTGAGTCAGAATTAGGAAAGTCTTTCCCACTTTGGGTTTATGAATGAATAGGCCCATATTCTAATTTAGTATGTGTATGGTTCATATACATACATTTCATATATGTATAAATATATAAATTATAAATCTGTCTATATAAATATATAGAGATATACTTATGAACCAGTAAATGTTTTCTGAAAGAAGTAAATGAATAGCTATTAAATAAAGGCTTGCCTAAATATAGGATACTTGGAAATAATGATGTTCAGTATCTTGTTTTCTTTATGTGACTTTAATTATGTGAGCTGGAATGCTGTAAAGAGTACGGAGCTTGGCAGAGGGGCCCTGGCTTGGGCCTCTGCCTGTAACCCTTAATAGCTGTTCCGTGCCCGCTCATCTCTTCTGATCCTGCCTCCTCGTCTGCCACATCCCAGGCTGGTAGTGAGGAGCAAATGGCACAGGGGATGTTCGTGACTGGGACAGCGGGTGGGACTGTCTGCAAGGAGGGACACTTGCTGCAGTTTGTACACGCGGAGGCTCCTTCTTCCCTGTCTGCAGCCAGCTGCTCTGGCCCTGCACAGCCAAGGAAACCAACACCGAGACTCTGGCCGCAGTGACCTGGAGAATCTCAGCTTGCCCTCCGACCTGAAGCTTTCGATCTGCTCTGGACAGAGATGCTTTCCTTTTTCTCTCTTCTGAAAGCCCCACAACAAAAAACCCCTCGTTATATGTTGCATGTTGCTTTTATGATTAGACTTTGTGGACTTCATAACTCTCTCTTACTGGCACAGAGTGAATAAAATACATGGAGAACAGAGCGAGAAGACCGATATTGTGAGTGATAACAATGTTCTTTAGAGAAGTGGCTATGGAGAGATTGGGAAGTGGATTACACACATATGCACGTACATATGCAGGCGGTATCATGAAAGCAGACACCGATTTTCTATGCTTGTGGGTTTTCCAGGGTAGCCAAGGAGATGAAAAATAATCCACCGGAAGATAGCTTCCGTTAAAGTCTTAATGGCAGGTTAGATAAAACTAGTTTTTTGGAATATTTTACTACTATACTTGCCATGAGCATAAGCCAGCTTTCAGAGAACTGAAGTCCATAAATGTGTGGAGCACTCATTTAGGCCCTTCAAAGAAGATATCTAACTAAAACTAGAAGCAAGGGGTGTGGGGGAACCAAGTCTTTTGAGAAAGGTCAGCAAAACTATTAAACAGTGCCTCAAGCCATGCTATGGTCTCTGGTTTCATGGGACACATGGGCGTTGGTGTGTCGAGAGCAAATGCCCATGTATTCTTTATGACTATGGACTTCTTTCTGGGGTTGACAGCATAGGGCTGTATTTTAAGGCTGTGACTTCTGGTGTGTCCTTTTTAGAGGAGGACTCTTCTTTTGTGGACAACCTTGGCTTTCCATAAACATAAGGCGAAAGAAATTCCATTCTGAACTCTCTCCCTCCTTTAGTGGTTACTATCTGCCCATTTATGCAGACTAGAAAACACATCCTCCTTCTTTCCAATCAGTCACCAAGTCCTGTCATCCTACTTTATCAACTTCTCTTGGATTTGTCACTTCCTCTTTACGTGCACTGCCACTGTGCGAGTGTGGGTCCCTGCCTCCCCTCACCTGTCCTGCTGTAGCCCTGCTTCCTGGCCCAGCCTTTGTCCCCTGTAGCCTTCACCCTGCTGTCAGTGGGGTCTCTCCATGTCACAGATATAACCATGTCCACTTGTTGATTAAAACTGTCTTGTCGTCTTGCTGACAGGATGAAATCCAGATTCTTTGGACTGATGTACAGGGCTCTGCCCAATCTGGCTTCTGCCCACTCTTTGATGCCCCGTGGTGGGAATTCCCTTTTCCCTTCTGTTTGGTGGACTCGGCTTGACCTGCTGGGAAACCTCTCTGGCCAGTTTTAAGAGAAAGCCCTACTCCTTTAAGAGAAAGCCCTGCTCTTTTCGATAATACCAAAAATGCTCCACTCACCTCTAGCATAACACTTTCCACATTGGATTATTACATTTTATTAATATAATAATAAGAGAGAAGACAGGAGAGGAGTCGTCCATGTAGTGGAGAGAAGATGGATTTTGGAGTTAATGCAACCTGGGTTTAAATCTTGGCTCTACCATTTACCTATTGTGGGATCTTGGACACAACCTCTCTGAGTATAGATTTTTCTATCCACCACCTTATAGTACTGGGAGGATTAAATGACATAATATGTAAAGGCATCCAGTGAGGCCTCAGTATGTGACAGTCTCCTACTTTTCCTTATCTGTGTCATCTGCTGTGAGCAAGCATCATTGCATTGTGTGATGGTCAAATGCTAGGATTTTCTCTCTGAGAAATGGATCTGCTCTATCCGGTTAGTGTCGGAACTTTAGAAAAAGGCCATGGGCTCGGCCAGTGTAGGCAATCTATGGAAAGATAATCATAGATTAGGGCTGCCTGGAGACTGTGAGGGGAAGGAGGAGGTGAGAGCACAGTGTGTTTGTGTCAGGAAACCGATAGTGCAATTAACTTTAAAAGGTTTTCCTGAGTCGGTTCCTTTTCATGTGGATGTACCTGAAACACCATCCCATGAAGTGTAATGATATCTTTAAGATATAGGGTACTTAAGGACAAGGAGATAATTATATCCTCTTGATTGTCCACATCCAGACATTGGTGCGTAAGGAAAACCCACATTCTTTGTAAGAGCTGAGTGGAGCCTCCCAAGATGTGTGGGTCAGGGGCGAAGGGCAGTGCAGAGGGCTGTTTCTGTGGGTGCAGGACCGAGCTGTAGAGACTGGAGGGATAGCTTTGAGCCTGGCAGCAACTAGCCCATCAAATGTGGATCGAGCATTCCTGAACTGAGAGAGCCTGTGCTTGAGACTGCTTGAATGGAAATGCGTATGTTGTGTAAGTGATCTAAGACGCGTTGTTTCCGCAGGGGGCATGGAGGAAGGTAAAGTTTGGATGCTTAATAAATAGAGAAATGGGAATTAGGGCTCATAAAAATTGTACCCTCTTTCTTTCTTCTTTCCTAAAAAACTGGGTTTTTGGGGAAAATATGTTTTGTTTTGATTTTCTTCTAGGCAAAATGTGTAATAATGCATTCATTTTTATTGCATTTCCTGCTTTGCTTTTAATGTAGCCTGGAAAAGGGCAGATTAAAAATAAGCCTGGCAGCCACAGCAGGACACAGCGCTAATGCCGTCTTGTGCTCGTTCCAGGTGCAGCGTGATCGTCCTCCACTCCCTTCCCAGCCAGCACTCTGCCTCCTGGATCCACCATGGTGTTTGGTGAGTTTTTCCATCGCCCTGGACAAGACGAGGAACTTGTTAACTTGAACGTGGGGGGCTTTAAGCAGTCTGTCGACCAAAGCACCCTCCTGCGGTTTCCTCACACGAGACTGGGCAAGTTGCTCACCTGCCACTCGGAAGAGGCCATTCTGGAGCTGTGTGACGATTACAGCGTGGCCGACAAGGAGTACTACTTTGATCGGAACCCCTCCTTGTTCAGATATGTTTTGAATTTTTATTACACGGGGAAGCTGCACGTCATGGAGGAGCTGTGCGTGTTCTCGTTCTGCCAGGAGATTGAGTACTGGGGCATCAACGAGCTCTTCATTGATTCCTGCTGCAGCAACCGCTACCAGGAACGCAAGGAGGAGAACCAAGAGAAGGACTGGGACCAGAGAAGCCATGAGGTGAGCACCGACTCCTCCTTCGAAGAGTCGTCTCTGTTTGAGAAAGAGCTGGAGAAGTTCGATAAGCTGCGGTTCGGTCAGCTCCGGAAGAACATTTGGATCAGGATGGAAAACCCTGCGTACTGCCTGTCTGCTAAGCTAATCGCCATCTCCTCCCTGAGCGTGGTGCTGGCCTCCATCGTGGCCATGTGTGTCCACAGCATGTCAGAGTTCCAGAATGAGGATGGAGAGGTGGACGACCCCGTGCTGGAAGGTGTGGAGATCGCGTGCATCGCTTGGTTCACCGGGGAGCTTGCCATCCGGCTGGTTGCTGCTCCCTGTCAAAAGAAATTCTGGAAAAACCCTCTGAACATAATCGACTTCATCTCCATCATTCCGTTCTATGCCACGTTGGCGGTAGACACCAAGGAAGATGAGAGCGAGGACATTGAAAACATGGGCAAGGTGGTCCAGATCCTCCGGCTGATGAGGATTTTCCGAATTCTAAAGCTTGCTCGGCACTCAGTAGGACTTCGGTCTCTGGGTGCCACCCTGAGACACAGCTACCATGAAGTTGGACTGCTGCTTCTCTTCCTGTCTGTAGGCATTTCCATCTTCTCTGTGCTTATCTACTCCGTGGAGAAAGATGACCACACTTCCAGCCTCAGCAGCATCCCCATCTGCTGGTGGTGGGCCACCATCAGCATGACGACCGTGGGCTATGGAGACACGCACCCAGTCACCTTGGCCGGGAAGCTTATTGCCAGCACGTGCATCATCTGCGGCATCTTGGTGGTGGCCCTGCCGATCACCATCATCTTCAACAAGTTTTCCAAGTACTACCAGAAGCAAAAGGACATTGACGTGGACCAGGGCAGTGAGGACCCACCAGAGAAGTGTCACGAGCTACCTTACTTTAACATTAGGGATATTTATGCACAGCGGGTACACGCCTTCATTGCCAGTCTGTCTTCTGTAGGCATTGTGGTGAGCGACCCTGACTCCACAGATGCTTCAAGCATTGACGACGAGGATGTTCAACACGCCACATCCTTGGAGAACTGCACAGCGAAATGAGCAGGGATGGTTGTGCCTGTATCTTGTGTCCCTTCCTGACATTAGGTTAACACAGCTTTATAAACCTCAATGGGTTCGTTAAAATCATTTAATTCTCAGGGTGTATCTTTCAGCCATAGTTGGACACTCATTGCTGGATTCTGAAATGAGAGAATTGTCTTTATTTTTCTCAGCGAGATCAATTAAATACTTTGTTCTGAAATTTATTTTTTACAAGAAGAGAGTTGTGATATGGTTTTGGAATAAAAGGTAAATGGTATGGGGTGGGATTTGTTGCTACAGCTTATGCATCATTCTATGTTTGTCATTTACTCACATTGAGCTAACTGTAAATTACTGACAAGTAGAATCAAAGGTCCAGCTGACTGAAGACTACATGCATGTAAGATCCACAAAATGAGACAATGCATGTAAATCCATGTTCACGTTCCAGACATGGAAATTAGGAGCCTAATAAACTTCCTAATTCAGTATGGAGAATGTCTTGGTTGTGTGTTTTTATGTTGAGTAAATACATTTCAGTATGTTCAGGGTGGGCTTGGAAAAGAAATGCTATTTTTGGAGTATCAAGAATGCTTTCTTTATGTTTTTAAATTTTGAGTATGGCCCAACAATATACTAGCTCTCTTGTTATCAGCCTCCAGGTGGAGTTTTTTCCAAGTTCTGGGTGACTGTGGGGAAAAGAATTTCAGAATGTACCGCATAAGCCAACCAAGTGATAGTTTGTATTGAAAGCAAAAGTACATTCTCAGGAAAGAGAACCAGCAGGCTTGACAGGGAGCAGCTGCACTGGGAGGAAGTGGCTTTAGATCTTTCGTAGTTTTACTAATTGAAGGGAGGAATATTCAATGGGTTGGCTTTTGCTAAGAATTTGAGTAGTAACTCCTAGAATTGTGTTCCCTCCCATTTTCATGCTTTATATGATGGTCTTGAAATTGTCATGGTGATTTTGAGGGTGGAGAAATTTTAAAACCACAATGTAAATGATATTATAATTAGCCAAAGTTCATGTAAGGTGGCACAGAGAGCTGACAAGCTGGTTGAAGTGGGTTCTTGCCTGTGGTCATCAGCCTTTCTAGTTTGCTTCTGCCTGAGGGCTGTTTACTTTAACACCTACACCCCCTCTGCAAGTCCCTGTATCTGGTCTCAGCCCTGTCTCCTAGTCTCCTACTCTAATGCTTTTGTTCAGTAGACTCGTTGGTGGTTGGCAGGTAGAATAACATGTCTATGATTAAACTGTGCTGTTCAGTGCAAACTGGTTAAACACGTGGGTGGTTAGAACTTACTCAAACTGTCATCTAGGAGTGAAGCTGAAGCATGTGCCCTTGCAAATATATTTCCGGTATATATTTTGAATTTTGTATAATAATTTCCACTGCTAGGATAAAACTTCATCACCTGAAAATTATGCAGAGCAGAGTAAACCTACACACTCCCAGGCAGAGGTACCTTCAGCGAATGCAGAAAGGAGAAATGTTGTACAAACACACAGATGGGATGCATTATGGTCAGAGGAGTGAAACTTAAATCCCTGGAAAAAGCTATGCCAGCAGCTACAAAATGAGCCAACATTTTTCAATAGCCTAGAGATGGTAATGTATGCATCTTATGTAGAAACCTCACATGATGAAAGAAGACATACATACCCATTTTCAGAGTGGTGACTGAGCAATTCTATCCTGTGTGGGAAGAATTTAGCTAAAGTCTCAATTTTGGAGATGTATGGCGACGCTAATGCATGCTGTCAGGCAGGATCTGGGGTTCTTCCCCTGAGGTCTTTCAAATGGAAGAGTCCACATGGATTTGTTATCCAACCTTTTATGTTTGGAGACGCATTTCATTGAAGGAAGGACATTGTAGGTTATCAGATAAAGGTATCTCTGACTCATCACTCTTCTTAACATTTCTATGACTTCTAAGATAGATATAACCAAACAGGGTTTATGGTCACTTTTAAATCTGGAGATTTATTACATGCATTTGTGTCATCTCCTGCCCATTTAAAAAACCTCTCTTTTCCCCAAAATGTCTTTTTGATGCTGGCATAAATATAGTTTTGAGGCAAAGCATTCAAATTTGAGATCTTATTTTATTAAAGATTTCCTAATTAGTGGTGAAGTAACTGAAGATTGCTTATATACTAATGGTCATAGCAGTAGTATAACAACATCAGGAATAATAATAATAATTAGCTACTTATGTGAATGCTTTACCCGTTGAATCTCATTTAGTGGCTCACTAGTGGTTATGCAGCGAGTGATGGGGTTGGGCTTTGAAGCCAGGAGCAGACTCCAGGACCTGTGCTTTTAACCACTTCTTGTCCTACTGTGCTAGCACATGGATTTAAGGAAACATCAGAACAGGTTTCATCTGAAAAGACAAAGAGCAACAAATGCTGTCAGACTTTGGTTTTTCTAGTATGTGAGTCAAAAGGGGGAAATGCTGGCTTGTATACCTTTACTGATCCAGAAATCAGAGACATTTGTTTACAGAGACAGATGTTCCAGAATGCACTCTGAGGCTGGAACAAGCTCTGAGGGTCCTTCCTTGAGGACAGTGGGTGGCAGACAAGTGGGAAACTGTGGCTCTACAAGAGCTCAGCAATGTCTCTTACCTGGTGGGGACTTAAGGGGAGCTTTTGGCTATATCTTGTTTTAAATCATGGAAAGTGGCTTGCGGAGTGGCATGAGTGGTGATGGTGGCTTCCCTCGGGCTGGGCCAGCTGCAAACCTCTCCCCCAGCACCTTCTCACCCTGGTTCCTTCTGTACTCTTCTGTTAAAATCCCTGCCACATCCAAGCGACACAAAGTTGCAGTGCCTTGTGTCTATCTGCGCCTCTCTTAGCTTTCCCGAAGTCGAGGCAGGTCTCCTCTCGTCCATTCACACAGTGAGATGCTGCTGGGTTCCTTCTCGAAGGCCTGGATCGGTGGCTACACGCCCACTCACAGGGATGCTGGTAGGGGACTGGGGCATTGAGTGGGGGGGGAGGAAGCCAGGCCACCTGCCCTGACTTCAGGCTCTGCCTATTTCTGTATCAATTGGTCCTGGGCATTGGGGTTTATTGGAGTTCATCTGAGTGGGACCAGACCACTTCAGCGAATTTTATCCTATAATTCTTTCAAACTCTTCGTTCCAACCTTGTGACCTTTTTCTCTCCTCAGATTTGTTTTATCATCTCTGGCAGCAGTTCTTTATGGCAGTTTGGAAGGCCACCAAATCAACCAAGGACCTGTCCCCACAGGGTTGATTTTCTCCTTCCTAGTCCTTCTCCCCTGCTGATTCTTGCAGCTTCGTCTTGTTTCCAGTTAGCATTTCCTGAGTGCTCTAGGTGATGTGTGTTCCGGTGATGTGTGTTCCGGTGATGTGTGTTCCAGTGATATGTGTTCCGGTGATGTGTGTTCTGGTGATGTGTGTTCCGGCGATGTGTGTTCCGGCGATGTGTGTTCCGGGCAGGCACTGGGAGTAGAAGACTGAGACCCCATCCTTGCCCTCAGGGAGCCTCAGGCCAACAGGAAACAGGTAAGTCAACTGGCATGTGTGTGTGTGTGGAGGGGGATGAGAGGGGAGAGACAGAAAAGAGAAAAGGCTTCCTGGAGGAGGTGACACCTGAGTTGTTTATGGGTCTGGTGACTTCAGTTCCGTGCTAGGAGAAAACCTTCACTGATATTGGACAGACAAAGTCTGTTGTCTCCCAGCCACGTGCACCACTGGTCTTTGCTTCTGTGGCTTCTCTTTTCTCCCTCTGCTGACCACCCTACTTTAAAGGGTCTTTCATCTTTAGATGAACTGATCCTTTTTCCTTCCTCTGGAGGTTTAAAAATGTTGACACAGGGAGACTTTGTGACTTTATTTGCTTTTCCTTTTTTTATTTTGGTCTCTCATTTGCTTTTGTACATGCCTGAGCTCTTGCCCGAGTATTGATTTTGCACTTAACTCAGAGTTTGGGGGGCACTTGCTATTGTCCCTGTCTAGAGAGACATGTTGGACCATTGTCTTGGGACATCTAGGCTGTCAGACCCCCGTTGTATTTTGTAGAGGCTGATTAATGTTACTGGAGAAGCTTTGACTAAGGTTCAGAAGAGGATGATTTGCACCATATGAAATTGCCACTGTCTGTCATTATTGATCTAGAATAACAACAGTTTCAATATGGTTCAATGTATTGTTAAGGATTTGCCTTGTGTTAACTAAAAGGTATCTTTCAAGTTCTTAGGTACACTTGTGACAGATCCTTTCTATGTGTTTAGTTTAAGGGAGAAGTAAGCACCAGGATGCCTGGGATTTAGCCCTAGCACCAGGGCTTACTTGGCGTGTGGAGGAGACCAGGGAGCACCTCTCTGAGCTTGTTTCCTCAGATTGGAGGTGAGTGTGCAGCCCAGCCCCTTGAGATTTTAATAGCCTGGCAGTTTTTAATGACCGAAATGGCGTAAAATTGGACCAGGCCCTTGTTTGCTTGCTCGTGTTAACCGCCTGCTTTCTGCCCAGCACCTCTTGTTCTCACAGCAGTTATGATCTGCCAGTGCACTGTTTGTCGAGCAGGAGGAGAAAACTCCAGGCTCGTGAGGAAGATTTATGAGTTTGTTTTGCAGAAGGAATGAACGCCCCTGCAAAAGTTGGGACGAGCTGCTGATGCCCAGAAGTCTGGTTATTTAAGGTGTTATTTGATACTAAAAGCAACACAGAAATCCTTCTTCCGACCCCTCTTATTCCCTGGCCATGTAAAAGCTCCCTTCAGGGAGGCAGGTCTGAGTAAGATTTCGCTCTCCCATTTTCTTGCTTTGGTCAAGTAGCATAAACCTTTTGCTGTCTCTGAACACCCAGTGCCACAGTGCTGGGCTCAGCTGCATATCTGCATGTCAGGTACATGAGCCTAAATCTGGGGTTGTACAGCAAGTGTAAAAATTGCTGGAATCCTTTCTATCCCTGACACATATGTAATTTACTTTTTTTCTACAAATTGGCTCGTTCCCCTCTAACTTTGTTTACATGACAAATTTGCATAGCAAAAGCTGATTTTAACCTGCTATCTAATTTTGCTTATAGTCTCTATAGTAGAATCCCAACCGATGAGGTTTCATTTCTTGTTGGTGGTGGCCCAGGGAATTGGCTACCTTAAAACTTAGGTTATTAACAACATTTGCAAAAGATCACGTATTTCCTAATGTCTGGTGGTGAGGAGAGAAGGTCTTTTGAATGCCAGAGTGATGTCAGGTGAAAGGCCTCTTGAACATCAATAGGTACATGATTTTGGTTTAAAAATCACCTGGTGGTTTAATTGTTCCTTTTCAGAATCTTCCACTTTGCCCTTCCCAGGAAAAATGCTAAAGCAGTTAGAAACACAGGAGAGAGGAAGGGTGATCTGAGAGAGAGAAAACTCATAGGTCTTAGATGGCTAAGTGCTACTTAAAGCCATGTTATGTGACTGCTCAGAGGGACCTGGAGAGGATGTCTGGCCCCCTCCCCATTTTACAGATGAGGAAAAAAAGTGACTCACCCAAGGCTATGCAGTAACAGAGACCAAATCCAGACTAGAACAAAGCCTTCCTTCCTTCCTTCCTTCCTTCCTTCCTTCCTTCCTTCCTTCCTTCCTTCCTTCCTTCCTTCCTTCCTTCCTTCCTTCCTTCCTTCCTTCCTTCCTTCCATTGTGAAAAATTTCAAATATATACAGAGTTACAAGAAGAGTATCACGTACCTCCATGTGCCCTTCAACCAGCTTCAACAATGATCAACTCATAAGAAACTCGTCTCCTCCACAACTCACTTCTTCCCCTCCCCAGTTTACTTTTAAGCAAGTCTCAACCATATCATTTAATCCATAAATATTTCAGAAAGTATCTTTAAAAGACCAGTCTTTTTCTAAACATAATTACAATGACATTAATAAAACTGACATGTAAGGATGATTTCTTATTTTTTATCCCTGCACCCTCACTTAATTTTTATTTGTGTATCTTCATGGAGTACGAGTGCAATTATGCTACGTTGATAATATTGCATTGTGGTGAAGTCAGGGCCTCCAGTGCAGACTTCACTTAAGCAGCACACACTGTCCCCACTAAGCAACCTCACATATGAAGTACCCTGTCTTAGAAGGCAGTGCATGACCATTACTTTCTAGTTATCTGGCATCTCCAAACACCCAGGTCACATGAGAGTTTCTAGAAACCATATGCCAAAGGGTCACAGGGATGCAGTGAGCCTCAAAAAGTAATTGAAATGATTTCTGCTTAGATTCTCAAATGATCTAAGATGGATAATTCTTTTCTCAGTTTCAAAAGACTTTGAGAGACAGAGCACAACTTACAGTTTATATTTAAGTTAAATATTGCTGCCAGTAGTTTCAAGTTCACTTGTCCTTCTTTCAGACTCACTGAAGGTGGAACCAACTACTGACTGCCCCCTGAATAATGACTGTCCTTGTTTTTCAAGTTATTTGGTTTCCATTTGGAGCTCTCTTCTCTTGCTATAAAGAATCTCAGATTTAAAATCTTTACTCGCTTTCCCTCCCCCCAGGAAAGTAGGAGAAGGAAGGGAAAATCTTTATTTTATTTTTAAAAAAATTTTTTTGTTTTAGCGTATTATGGGGGTACAAGTGTTAAGGCTATGTATATTGCTCATGCCCCCCCTCCTCGAGTCAGAGCTTCAAGCGTGTCCATCCCCCAAACTTTGCACATCTTACTCGTGTTTGTATATACCCATCCCCTCCTCCCCTCTCCCACCCTTCCACCCTCCCGACACCTGATAAATGTTACTCCTATATGTCCACTTAGGTGTTGATCTGTTAATACCAATTTGCTGGTGAGTACATGTGGTGCTTGTTTTTTCATTCTTGAGATATTTCACTTAGTAGAATGGGTTCCAGCTGTATCCAGGAATATACAAAAGGTGCTATATCACCATTGTTTCTTAAAGCTGAGTAGTACTCTATGGTATACATATGCCACATTTTATTAATCCACTCATGAATTGATGGGCACTTGGGTTGTTTCCACAGCTTTGCAATGGTGAATTGTGCTGCTATAAACATTCAAGTGCAGGTGTCTTTTTTGTAGAGTGTCATTGGATCTTTTGGGTAGATGCCCAGTAGTGGGATTGCTGGATCAAACGATAGATCCACTTGTATCGCTTTGAAGTATCTCCATATTGCTTTCGATAGAAGTTGAACTAGTTTGCAGTCCCACCAGCAGAAAATCTTTATTAGGTGTTGCTTAATTTGATCAACATCCAAGTGACGTGGGTGTTTTAGTAGAGAGCTTAAACAACTTTCCCAAGAGTATTAGGTCCCTATGTCTGCTATAACAAGTTATCACAAACTTGATGGCTCAAAACAACAAAAATTTATTCTATTCCAGTTCTGGAGGCCAGAAGTTTGAGCTGAAACTTAGGGGCTAACATTAAGATGTTAGGAGGGTTGGTTCCTGCTGGAGGCTGTAGGGGGAGAATCTGTTACTGTCCCTGACGCTTCTGATGGCTGCTGGCATTCCTTGGTTTGTGGCCATATCATTGCAGTCACTGCCTCCATGATCTCATCGCCTTTTCCTCCTCTGTGTCATATCTCCTTCTGCCTCTCTCTTATGAGGACACTTGCAATTACATTTAGGACCCACCTGGATGACCCAGGATACTCTCCCCATGTCAAGATCCCTAACTTAATCACACCTGCAAAGTCCTTTTGCTATATAAGGTACCATTCATATGTTTCAGGGATTAAGATCTAGATATATTCAGGGGCCATTATTCAGCCTGGGACACCAAGATTACACAGCTACTAAGATGCTTTCATTTTAGGGGTGTGCTATATAAATACATCGTATTGGTCTGGAAAAAGGTACATCGTATTGGTCTGGAAAAAGGTACAGAGCATGGGTTTATTGTCAAACTGGAGTTCTAATCCTAGCTTTATGCATAAGCTCTTTAACTTCTCTGAGCATTCAGTCTTTTCATCTGTATGTGAAGATGATATCAACCTTCTCATAGGAATAGTATAGGGATTAAGTTGGTAAATCCATATAAAGTACCAAGTGCAGTGCCTGGCATATAGATGCCCTCCATAAATGGGCTCCCAAATTATTATAATGCAAGACTCCTTTTGGCTTATGTCAGGTGGCATCCACACAAGACCAGATATTTTCTGTCTGATTGCAGTACATTCATGAAACCAAACACAATTTGACTGTGAAGACATCTACAGGTATGAATAGAAAGGTAATTTATGAAGTATTATTGTATGAAAAGATACTGATGATAACTTCAAATTAAGAAGTAGAAATCCAAAATAGCAAAATCATATACAAAATTGGAGCAACTTTTGAGTGTGACTTGTAAGGGTTTTTGGAAAACATAAAATGTTGCCGAGCTTCAGAGGACTTTAAGATGA